CAATCTTCGCGCGTGCCTCGTTTGGGATTGTCACAAGGAGTTGTACGTGGAACATGTTCAAACGTCTGCCCGCGAGCATGTTTGAGGTTCTCGAGAGAAATCGGGCAGCCAGTTTCTGCATCTAGGGCGGCGTTTTCCTCGTCCAGCAATCTCGTCTAATGCGCACGCACCCGTAGTGAACCCGCGCGCCCAAACAGTAAGCGCAGGCGGCGAGCAGAGAAGGTATGTGGAGCGCAAGTTTGTCTGCTTCTTCCACAGAGGGTTTGATGATGTCCTAACACCGAGCTCTTACTGGCTGTTTGAAAGAAATAGGGGGTAGATCGCAAGGCATCTAGCATTGAGGTCTACCCCATTATCCTTTCAAACAAGATTAGTGAGAGTTCGGCGTTGTTCTGACGTAACCGCAACTCCTGAGCAAGAAGCAGGCGACTTGCTTTCCGCATGAGTGACGTGCCCGAAAAAAAGTGTGGTATGTTCGGCATTCGCGACTGGCCCAATCAAAGCTTCCTCTGTACTGATAATTCCTGCTCGTTCATGGCGAGGCAAATCCTGCCAATCACGTAGAGGCAAATTCTGGTCGTGACGTCACGAACGGAAACCATAAGAGGGCGCCACCGAAACATCTCGGCGCTAATAGACAGACAGCGGGGCAGCGGTGCCGACCGGTTACACGGAAGCAAGCAAGACGGGGGACAAGAGGAGGGAGCTGCCCAAAATTGTTTCGGGCCCAAATTATGCGAAGCGAGTCGTTAATGCTAATGGTTGCCGCTTGGGGTGCCTCGTGGGTGCCTCGGGCGAAGGAGAGCCTCGCGAAAGCACGCGCAAAGAAGAGAGGCGTTCAGGTTTTAATGGCCTCTTCGAGAGAGGCAGGAAACGGGCACTCGGCCCATCGGTGCGCTGTTCCAGGGATGCCCGCGATTACCGCTGGCCTTACGCGATGCTCCGCTTGTCGCCTTAGTCGTCTTTTGTAGGGGGCCCGCTGGGCTGGGAGATGCGATCGGTACCATTTGGGGAAGTGGACGATCGTCGAGTGAGTGTCCGTTGCGTTGGCGTCCGACAATTGGTAGTTCCTGCGAACTCACGCCTCTGATACGAGTATTTTGTCAATTTGTTTGTATTTGCCCGGTGCGACAGCGTGCACCGTCTTTCCGAAATGTTGATGACGACTCAGTGCGCTGGGAGTGTGCCCAGCTATGGAGTAATGTGGCCCTGTTAACACGTAGTCGGCTTTGAGGGTAGGAAAATAAGTGGAACGTCTTCTCTCTGGACAGGTAGCGCGACGGAACGGCACATACAGCAGCTGCAACCATTTACCGTCCCAGCGAACTGCGTACTTTCTGCGCTGAGTAGAGTTCATCGAATTATTCTCCCAAGATGTCTTCCGTTCTCTTCTTGGGCCCGCTTTAGTTTCGGCCTGAAAGGCTGGGGTCCCTCTGGTCCGTATCTCAATTCAATTCAATTCAAGCTTTATTTTCCAGATATACACTGGAGGGACCTCGAGACAAAAAGCTGCTATGTGAGCAGCTTGACGGGGTCTGGGGTCCTGACGGGGTCTGGGGTCTCAACAGTAATTCCCCAAAGCGGCCTCACTCTTGGTCGAAAGAAGCTAGCTGAACTTGTTTTGCTTCTTCACGGTGTGTCATATTTTAATGTGAAGTTTATCATATCCTTGAATTATGATTACGATGCTGTTGTTTTTCTCGCTTTCTGCTGGCCTTGCAGGCTGTCGTTTTTTAGCATGGGGTGCGCGCATTGTTTCGTCCAGCCTGTTTAAGAAGTCAGTTAAGTGACTTTCTGCGTGTTTTTTTTTTATTTCAAGATACTTTCGATCCATTACGGGACCAAGGTAAAAGTAGCATACATCAGTAAGGTAAACATGGTATGTGTAACAGCCCCACAATCACAGTCCGCGCTTTCCTGCATCCAAACATGCACAATACATATATCAAACAAGTGCGATGCCCACAATATTAACACAACACGCTTGCCGCTATTAAGAGTTTAAGAAATATGATGCAAATCCCTCCCCGCTACGTGCACTTATAACATTTGCCATATGCAAGGTGTCTCTGCGAAAACTTTAACAAAATCTCTAAAAAATATGCTGTTCGAGATAAAAAAAAAAAAAAAAATTAACTCTTTGCGGGAACAAATTCTTAGCTTTGACGGACGCCAAGGAGAGAAAAAAACACACGATACTTCGCCTAACCTAAGCATGGACTACTGTTAACCGCGCATCTAAAAGCGCGAGCTAATTGCTTTGGATGAAACCTCAGCGGCTGCACGAGCGCTCATACAGCGAGTGCTCCAGTCTAGGCGGTTAAGGCTAGCCACTCGCGCTTTGATAGCCTTCGCAGTTAGTTATTGCTAAAGTGAGACGAAGTATAATAAGCGAGCTTATTACAGAAAATAACTAATTAATTATGCTTTTTATTTGTGAAAATAGACATGGTTTCACCGAGAAACTTGCTAAGCATAGTCGAAAACCACTGAAGTCTTTTTATAAATTTATAAGGCAGGGACAGCATTTTACGGCGCTCCGTAAAAACGCTCAATTCGGACTCCTTTCTAGATTTCGGTTTCTTATGGGAGTGAATCTCTGCGACCGGGGTCCTGCTCCACAGTGGCCAAGACACACAACCACTGATCTCTATGACGATTTCCACCGCCCCTCCCTCAGGTCGGCCATCTTACGTCACACGCTCTAGTACTGTCAAGCCTAGGCAGTTATCATGATTACCAGCTGTAGGTCACGTGACAACAGACGGAAAGGTCACATGACTACAGCCTTGACAACGCTTCAGCGGGTGACGTAAGATGGCCGCCCGGTGACCGCAATCGCGCAATAGGCTCGAAGCGGAGATCAGCTATCCAGCATATAGTCAGCTCTCCCCTCTTTGTTCACAATATATATATATATATATATATATATATATATATATCGATAGCGTACAATAGACTTTCATCTATTGTACGCTATCGTCTATATAGGTCACCGCTGCCGGCCCGGACACAAAGTCACCCTGCGCCCCCTCTCAAGAAGCTACAACCGTCATCCCGCCGTCCTTGAAACTTGGCACCGATTGTCAAGCTTCTTCACCCGGATAAGAACTGCCCTACGCTTCCCTCTCTCGAAAGCTTCAACCGTCACCCCTCCGAAATTTGGACTCGACCGTAGCATTGTATAAATACCACCCGCGTTCATCTGTAAAAGTTCTTCCTGACGAAGGCCGGACTCCGGCCTAAACGTCGAAGATTAAATCGTCCGTTGTTGCTGTTTTCACTAAGGGTTTTTTTCTTCTCAGTTTTATACCCACGCCTTCGGCCTCCCGCCACCATTCCCGTTATATGGGAACAGGTCCACTCGTCACAGCCAACTTGTCACAGGAAAACTTGTCATAGGTCAACTGGTCAAAGAGGGCATCTTGTACTAGGTGAACTCGTAAGAGGGGAAGTGGTCGCAATGACCTTCTCGTCACAGGAAAAGTCGTCAAATGCTTTCAGTTCGTTCGTCACATTTCTTACTTATTTTTTTTTATCTTGTTCGATAAACCCACAAGGGTGTATTGTCTTTCACCGTGACCCATCTTTTTCATTGTAAGCACTTTTCACAGTTCCTTTTGGAGGGCAGATTTTTGTAAGGGGGATGCCAAGATTCAAAAGAAGGAAGTCTTTCCCAGTGACCCCTATTTTTCATTGTTTTTAGAGGGAAGACTTTTGTGAGGGGGTGATAAGGTTCAAAAGGTGAAATGCTTTTTTTTTTTTTGTTTATCGCTTCAAATCCGGGAAAGCGAAGTGTGCACTCGGTAAAACTCTGGCTTGAAGGTATATATACATATAGAAAGAAATAAGCTAACTGCCAGACTGAACACCGGCAGGCTGTACGATGGAACTAACGAAAACCCAGCGCGGAGCAACTATGCTGCTGTACGAAGGATATTCATATACGTGTAGCCGAGAAGACTCCGAGACTTCGTACTGGATCTGCAGAAATAGAAAAGGCTGCAAGGCTAAAATCACCACGGACAAGATGATTTCCCGTATCACCAGGACAACCGGGGAGCACTCTCATCCGGGAGATCCAACCACCATCAATCTTCTAAAAGTCCGGAATACCATGAAAGAAAAAGCTGGTAAGTCACTTTGTTTTTGTTTCTTCACTATCGGTCACGTTTTAACCGCATAAATTAGATGTAACCATTTACTGTTTTTATTTTCTGAAGTTGAAGGAACTCAAGGACCCCAGCAGATCCTGCTCGACGCGGCAGCAAGTGTCAGCGAACACACGGCTTCGCAAATGCCACCCACAAGCACGCTGCGCCGAACCATAAGGAAACAGCGGCAGCAGAGTTGCAACCCCTACTCCGTTCCTGCAACTCGCGAGGATGTCGTCATTCCAGGCGAATACACGGTAAAGAAATTTGTATCCACCTTTTAGTCTTAAAAACCACTGTGCTAATTTCGGCTTTGTCTGTCTTCACTTGGAGTGCAAGCATTAATTGGTTTTCTGTTTGCAGGTTTCTCTCAAGCAAGAATCCTTCGTCGCCCACGATAGCGGATTTGGCGACCGCAACCGTATCTTAGTTTTTGCCACTCAACGCAACCTTGATTGTCTGTCGAGGTCCAAAGCTTGGTTTATGGACGGAACATTTAAAGTTACGCCATCCATTTTTTTCCAAGTGTACACCGTGCATGGAATGTACAAAGACGCGGTCATTCCTTTGGTGTACGCTCTCCTGCCAAACAAGACCGAAGAGACCTATCAAAGGTATGATTTGTACTAGGACTAGTTCTGAAATTGGAACTTGGTAAAATCATGTGGCTGATTAATATTGCCGACACTTTTTCAGGCTTTTTACAGTACTTTCAAGTCTTCTGACACAGCCTGCGGTGGAGCTGGTGTATTGTGACTTTGAGTCCGCCGCTATCATCGCCACTGGCAACATTTTCCCGCAAGCGCGTGTTCAAGGCTGTTTCTTCCACCTATGCCATGCCGTGTATCGCAAACTGTGCAAGCTTGGCTTCCAGACACGCTACGGAACAGACGAAGATTTCGCGGTTTTGGTAAGTTCGGACATTCGACTGCGTGGTATAATTGCTATACTAATGAATATATTAAAATTCGTACGCAATCGCAGGTGAGGATGCTGCCTGCCTTGGCATTTCTGCCACCTGCAGAGGTTCCAGATGCCTTCGAGGACCTCGTGGCATTGTTTTCAACGGACGCGATGCCTCTTGCACTCTACTTCGAAGACACGTACATCGGACGTCGTCGACGGAACGGATTGTTGTCTGCTATGTTCCCGACAAGTGTCTGGTCTGTCCACGCATCTGTTCTGGAGGGCCTTCCGCGCACAAACAACGCCGCCGAAGCTTGGCACCGCAGCTTCCAGGTTTGTGCCATTGCTATACGCTGAGCAAACTTTTTCGTTTGTTGAGCTTTAGCCGCTCACCTCCGACTCTTTCCAGACAAACATCAACTGCAGCAGGCCTAACCTATGGTCATTCCTGGGATGCCTGCAGAGAGAGCAGTCTTTGCAAGAAATGAAGATCGCGCAGCTGGACGCTGGTCAACCCCCCTCCGGCATGGCCGCAAAGTACCGGGTACTCAATGAGCGCATTTCACGAATCTTGTACGATCACGACGCAGCTCGGCCGCTCTCGACACTGAAATGCATCGCACGCAATGTACGGCTGTAAGTCAACTCGGGACATTCCTTCTTAGAAAACCACTTGTCACATTTTGCAAATAAACGAAGTTTTGATTGATGTTTTTATAGTTTTTGTCATGTTCAAAATCCCTGCTGCTTTGTGCGCATTAAATACAACACGTCTCCGGAAAGGTGCAGTCAAATTGGTATACTCGTCAGCCATGCAGACCCCGTTTGCTTGAACAGAAGCGAATAGCCAGATGGGGCTGAACAGGGAGCCCTAAGTCCAATACCACCTATTATAAAATTGAAGCGTCGGAGGCGCATCCTGCGACAAACAAATTTTGATGAAAGTCGAGTTCTCCGCCGTTACGAATTCCCCGCCGTTACGAGTTCCCCGTGCACGAGATGGCCTATGACGAGATGCCCGCTGTGACCAGTTCCCCTATGACGAGTTGGCTGTGACGAGTTGGCTTGTGACGAGTTCTCCTAGACCCCCGTTATATATATATATATATATATATATATATATATATATATATATATATATATATATATATATATATATATGGTGTTTCACGAAAGGTGGTCAAATTCGATACTGCGAAAATTATGCGTCGCAACAAAACAAAAAAGGCGTGTGTCGTTTTGATCGTGGGCCAGGGGCCTATTTAGGAAAATCATTAAAGTACGGGATTATTAGGTTGTTAATTATTTTTGCGTAATTAACTTTTTAATATTGTGTTTAAAGGCATGGTTTCAATTAAAAAATTCCCCAGCATCATTAAAAAAACACTAAATCGACAAATTGCAGAACAATACGAGGCACGCGAAGCATTTTGCGGCTTTCTGAAAAATCACTCAAATTCGACGGGTTTTTAAGTTTCGGTTTGCTATCGGAGCGCATCTCGGCCCCGGGCCGAGAAATTAGTCTCCAGCTTGACGCTCGCCCTCCCGCGCCGTTCGCCGTCTGCAATCTGGTTCGCGTCGCGAACCAGATTGGAGACGGCGAACGGGCGGGTATAGGCCATAGGAAATGCACGTCTGCCATCTTTGTTATCTTTCGAATAATTCGCTACTCCCGAGTTGACGTCTGAAAAAAATAGGCAAACAACTTTGGAATAAACGACGGTCGTGTGCCCAATTTCGGGTATGTACGTTTGAAATTCGATTTTTGCTAGGCGTGCCAAATGTGAAAATTTTTACGGCCGCACCCTGTAGTAAATGGGGCTAATTATAACGATCTGTCGGCTAATTAATAAATTGGTAATTAACTTTTTAATTTTTAAATATAGACAGATGGTTCCAGTTAGAAAGTTGCTGAACTCCACCGAAAACCACTAAGCCAATAATTTTTATAATTACTTTGAGCGCGTGCGAAGCGTAGAAGTGCGCTAAAGGTACCACACGTGCAACAGGTACAAGGCTGGGGCTATGATAAGAGGGGGAAAAATCGCGCTAGAGCCTTATCGCACCGGTAGCCTTGGTCCTGCTGCACGAGTGCTAACTTCAGCGCACTACTGCGCATCGCACGCGCTCAAAGTATTTATAATAATAACAGATTGAGTGATTTTCGATGACGCTCAGCAAGTTTATAACTGGAACCATACGTCTATTTTCACAAATTAAAAAGTTAATTAACACATTTTACTTAATTAGCCAGCAGATCGTTATGATTAGCCCCATTAACTATGTCCCCCTGGCCGTATAACTTACCTGCACAAATCGCATAAGTGCAACTCTCACGGCTTTTTTTTTTTCTTTTTTTTACTTAGTATTATTCTTATGAAAACGCTTTATTTGCCGTTTCACGGCTCAGTGTTTCGCGACGCTAACTGGCGTCAGAAATAAGTTGGAACACGAGTATCAAGAAAGTCGTTTTTATCTCCGCCCCTTCACAGATTAATTTCGCGAAGAAAGATTAAGAACGAAACGTCTCCCAAGTTTCCGGAATCTGAAGTCACACGAGACGCCATCAAAAACCTACACGTACCTGCTTTATATACGCTTCGTGCGTTATTTCTCTGCCGCCCAAGTTTGAACGACTAGCCCACTTATCACGAGGAGGCCAAACAGTACGCGCTAGCTTTTCATACAATATTGATAAAGCAGCTGAAGGCAAGAACATCGAATGAAAAGTGAATACGTTCAGTGCGACTGTATGCAGAGATATTGAATCAGCGCGTCTGCGCACGGCGCCTTTAGGCATGAGAATTTCCCAGCGCAGTGCCCGCAAGGACTAAATCTGAAATGATGCACATGTTTCTCCCTTCTCCAACAAATGGCATACGCGCACGCGAAACCCAAGTCACACTTAAAAAAAAGAAATATTTTCTTGCATGTTGTGCGGAGACGGCTCAACAGCGGCCCAAGTCGGAGGCAGCGCGCAGCTGCGTGTGTAAGGGGAAATAGCGCGGCCCACGGTCGAAGCTCGCGTTAGCGGAGACTGTGACGTCATTCATTTCAAATGCGCATTTCAAGGACGCGGGAACTCTTCCCGCCAGCCGCAGAAGCGCTTATATTTGAATGTCAACTACTTTGAAACGACTTCCCTCGCAAGCCCTCTAACTCAAGCCCGTGTGAAACGCACGGAAAGACGTCCTTTTTTTTTCTTTTTTTTTTTGTTGGCTTCGAAGAGTATTTTTTGGGCTCTCGATGTCCCCCCAGACTTCAAATGTCGGCGCGAATCGAGGCAGCTTCCTTTGACGAGTGAGGCCAGGCGACAGGCAGCCGTTTATTTAGAGTCGAATCAGTCGGCTCTGCTTCCACAAGGGAACTTCTAGAGCCACACTATTGCAAAAGACTAGCCCCCCCCCCCCCTCCCCTCCCCCCCTTACTTCCATAATTTTAAGCAAGGAAATGTTTCTTTATTTTAAAAATGGCGAAGAAAAGTCGACGACTACAAATAAAGTTGTGCCGTTTTTATGTACTCTTTTGTAGACTATAAAGTACGAAGTATTTCCAAAAAGACTGACCAAACATTCTATACAAAACTGCTCAAACCAGAGAAGAAAACAGAGACGTCATAATAATCACTACCATATGGCCCAATTAGAGATACGCAGCGCGACACAGTTATCACGAACAAGATCTCGCCGGGTTTTTGCTTTCAATGCTGTCATAAAAAGTACAATATACTCGTTGTCACGCCTAGAACAAAGCAAGTGTTGCACATTGTCTACACGCTGCGTTGCGTGAAGTATTTCTTACAAGATTTGGTTGGAAGGAAAAGAAGCGGTGCCCTTGGGCGTTTGAAATCAGTACGTCATGACAACATAACATGTAGTTACTCTAAAATGCACCTACGCATATCCTTATTCATTACATAATGATGAAAATTAGTAATGTCCCCCATGGTGCCGGACCTTTTACTGCGGTTCTTGAGCTGAACACAAATTGAGTTTCATAACAAAAAAAAAAAAAAAAAAGAAAAGCGCTGGTTCAGGGCCTCAATCTAAGCGGCAAAAAGTAGTGCTCGTCATTACCTTGTCTCAGAAAAACCTAAAAACGCTCCGATGTTGTGTTCGCGTTAATAGTTTCGGGCAGTGTACATAGCGTTTGGGGAAATTTATTGTTTAATTAGTGTCGAATAAAAAATTGGTCAAAGGAACTAGGACGTGTTTGTTTCAAAAATTTTCTTAATGTGGTTTGGGTTTAACCAGATTTTTTTTGTTTTGTTTTATAATACAAAAGGCATGAGTTTGATTTCAGCTCTATGCACCAACAGGAACAGAGGAGCGAAAATGAGAGTTAAAGGAGCTGTGCAACGATATTCAATCGGAATGTTTTTCTTACTTACACGAGCTTACTGGCACACCTGGGACTCGAGGATACTCACACGCAACGCCATTGGCCAAGAAACTCCTTTGTTGCGGTGTAATTTCAAGGACAAAAGCGATCATTTGCATTCAATCTCTCCTTTGCAAAATTTGATGACGTAACTCGGGGATCGCAGTACACCCAAGTGACGATATTTGAATGCGGTTCATAGATTGGACCCGAGCATTGCGTGGGCACTCGACTTGGGCTCGTGACAATTGCTAGCTCGAGAAGCATTCGGGCTGTGACCCGTGTCCAATCGCTGCAACGACGACAACAGCCGAGCCATAACAATGTCTGGAACTCAGCGCGTGTATTGTGCCTTGCCAACCCCAGCGCGTGGCTATGATCAACACTGGCGGCATATAATCGGCTCCAGATCACGTGGCCGCTTGTTCTGGCTGTGAGTTGAGGGGGTGAACGCCGCTCATTTTTCTTAAAATTTTTTCTGGGACTTCTATTGCGTGGGGTGAAAAACGAACGCGTGTTTCATAGGTCATTAACGTTAGGGATCCGTTTTAAGCGGTATTTGTGCACAGTACAAAAATTGTTGCACAGCTCCTTTAACCCCTTCAACCCGTGAACGGAGCAAGGCGCCTTTTTTCCATCACCTACCTTTTGGTGTTCATCGCAACCACGTGAGGGCAACGTGAGATTAATTAATTAATATATCAGATAAATCCGACACATTCGTTAATTTTCAAATATAAGCCACTGAAAAACAAAAACGTTCAAACATACACTCGTTTAGCGATCCTCACTCCGACAATGCAAACCCTGATAATACGACTTTTAAGCCCAGGGGCAAACTGCTCATAGATCATGCAAAAGACGGTCTGCAAACACAAGTCACCGCAACATCCGGGGCTCGAATGCCGTCTGCCAAGTTTTCTGCTTGAACTCATTGCCATGCGGCATTTGAAGCACGGATCTCGCGATGACTCGCGTTCGAATCTGTACGCAGACTGTCTTTCGTATGATGTATAGACAGTGTGACCCACGCTTTTCTCAACACGGAAAATAAATTATTGTTAAACACTTTAACCCATAGTCTGTTAAAAAGCCTTTATTTCTTAATAGGGTACGGGAACGAAAGGGCGTGAGCGCGAGCTCTCTTCCCCTCGCTTCGAAGTCGGCCAGCGAGAAGCGCAATGCGTATCGAGTTCGTGACGTCAATAATTCTCGCATGGTCAAGGGTAATGTAATTGCGTGCCTTGCCACTTGGTGGCG